AACCCAATACTAAAAAGGTGTATACGAATCATAATCATGGCACTATGTAATATGTACAATCAAATAACATATTCAAGTGTTTTAATGTTAACTAAAAAGATGTATGTACTGAAAAAGCAATATACTGTACTATCCCCGTGAAGAAAAAATAATCAAACACACACATAATATTCAAGAAAAAAAAACTGCTTTATTTAAAGCAGAGACTGAGATACATTAGAATTGCCCTGTTACCAGGTATAATTCCCCTGAGAACAATTTAATTCTCTTTAGATTCCAAAATAATTTCTAGAATAAAACCCCAGATACTGGAGCTGTGACATTAATAATGCAAGAGCGTTAAAAGATATATAAAGATTTAAATTCAATAAACAGCACATTTTTTCTGATCCACAGAAAAAAAATAATTCATTAGGTACATAAAAAAGTTATCTTTCATTAGATACACAGTAAAAACACTGCATCTTTAAAAATTATATACAAACAGTGCCCATTATGGGCAATAATTTTAAATCTCCAAATAAAAACTGCCACCTTGAAGCTGCATTAAAACTCTTGCTGACGGTTTTAACAAGCAATAAGCATAACTTATGAAAAATATTCTTGTTGCCCATAAGGATGGTGAACCAATTTTCCGGTGCAGGTGTAAAAAAAACAAAACAAAAAGAACCAAAAAAGATTGATGGCTATAGGCAAGACTGGACAAGTAGAGGGTTCAAGAGACAGTCCGTCCAACAAGAAAGCCTGAAAATGTGATTTCCTTAAGAAAAACACAAAAGGCTCCTGCGGTTTTCCCAGCCTTGGCTATGGGTAACAAGATCAATTTCCATTTCACGTGGTTAAACCCTTCAAGTGCCGTAACAAATAAGTGACCCAGCATATCTACAGAATACACTGTGCAGTTAGACCAGGTGACCCAATACTGAACACCATCATTTTATGGCACAACCCTGCTTAAAATAAGCAGCCTGGGCTGGTCTTGGAATGATTGTGCTCTGCGACTTGCTGGAGTTTAATTTCCAGAAGAAAACATTCAAAAAGGTAAGATGGAGGTTTTAAAAACAGCTTAAAAAAAAAAAAAAAAAAAAAAATTAGCAAAAGGGATTTTTTTTTTAGTTAGTTTTCAATAGTTAAAAGGTTATAATTATTTTCATTCCAAAATTAGTCCCAGATTATTTTACTAAATCTTTGAGTTTTCACACTGGAAAGGAATGTTGCAAGCATTTTTTTAAATTTCTGTTCAGACCTCTGCATAGACTTTAAAGGCTATAAAAATTAGGAAACAACCATCCAAAAGAATTTTGCCCAATATGGCTTTTGTCCATTGTTGTGAATGCTACATCCCATTTCAGTGTGGCAGCTTAAGGTGCTTTTAAGAGTCCAGCTCTTACTATCAAAGTGCCTTAAAGATGTGCTTAACTGGTTTTCTGCCAGAGCAGAAAAAAATGCATTGGCAGAAAAGGGTTAAATCACTATATATTCTCTAAACAAGCATTAATAATGCAGTGAAAAGTACAAAAAGCAAGTGCAAAGTTCTGGAACCCTTAACAACCAATCAGAATTGGTCTCTTAACTGTCTTGGCTAGAAACAGTTGCACTGGGTTATTGCCTGCTGCACACTTTTCACTGCTTCATTAAGTGATTAATATATCACCATATTAGGACAGGTGCTCTAAGACAATAAAATTCTATCTGGTGAAGACAAAGGTGGGGGGTTGGGGGGGGGGGGGGGGGGGGTCTTCATTTGGACCAAAATCCGGAGCCTAAAATATAATGGGGAGAAATCCCCTAGGGTAAGGCATATGAAATTTTCCCAGAACTGTAGACTGGACCTTTGACAGTCAGGTCATCAAAATATTAGCACCATTTGCAAAAAATATTGATGTCACCAGAATGTTAAAAAAAAAAAAAAAAGTACCAAACATTCTTCAGTAGCTAAGCAATCACTCTGCACAAATCATATTACACATGATCACCAAGATGCCTACTAAATGAGACCTTGGATGGATTGGTGCCTTAAAAACGTACTCTACTTTTGGGAAAAGAAAGAAAATAAGCTATATGTAGCTCACAAGAAGCAAACAGTTATAGGGGCAGGTCTTCGGCTTACATTCTATAAGAATTGCAGACACTGCTAAGCATTTAAAAGAGTATATAAAAGTCTTTGACAGAGAGAGTTGACATACACAAACTGAGCATATCAATCTTCGGGCTCTCTTCCAGATGGTCCCCATGGCTCTCGATCACATGAGGAGGAGCCAAAAACTCTGCAGAGATAAGCTGTCACTGTCTGCTCAGGCAGAGACAGTTAGCCGGCCGCACAGCAGCCTATGAAACGAAACACTGTGCGTTCCATGCACAGCACCAGAAACTGGCGACATTCACAGCAAAGACAACGTACTGGTCCCACAAAGCCCTTCGGATACCAGGGAAACTTGGGACGAGGTTGAAGAAGATCTGAAGTCTTCTAATAGGCAAAGTGTTTGGGGCACCAGGGAGTATCTGGATATAGAAGACAATGGACAGACCGAAACCTGCACAAAAAAACAAAAACAAAACAAAAAACAACAAAAACAGGTTGTTTAGAGGCTTGGATATTTTATTAACAGGATTCAGAGTTTAAGAACGCCTAAGTTTTTTGGCAGACAAAAACCAATGGACCCTTACCTTGATGGATCATCTTCAACTGAAAAGACTCCTTTCATGAGGATTGCGTTTCTTTTGTTTTCAAACATTCCATAACTCAATGTCACCTGGGAAAAAAAAAAAAAAAAAAAAAAAAAAAAAAGTATTTGTAAGGCTCTACTACTACATCTTTTCAGCAGAAAAACTTCTAAACCCTTTCCCCAGTTTCTCTATTATTAATAAAACATTATATATTACTGCAATATGTTTACAGCCCCTCCTTTAAAAAAAACAAAATTCAAAGTTTCAGTTCACAGAGAACTGACCTTACCTGATTTGGGATTTCACTTTGAGGAACTTGGTGCAGGTTTTCCAGATGAGAGTGGAAGAGGTTGCTTCGTATTAGTTTCACACCAAGAACAGACTCAATGATATAACCGATGGTGCAATCATCAGGAAGTCGGATTTTCTCTGCTGTGTTCATAAAGTGTCCTCCACTGATAAAGAAAAGCAAACTGTGTTAAAAACACTGTCAATCAAAGCCCAGACCATTGATCATAAGACATACCCCTCCACCGTTCAGCAAGATGGCCACTAAAGATCCTCTTGGGATAGGGGAGATGACCTTAGTCATGAAATCAGGCCCCAACAACAAAGTAAAACAATCAATGAGGAGACCAGAAAAAGCTTTTAAAGTGGTTCCAAACCCCTAAGGTTTTTTTTTACCTAAATTCATTCTTTGCAATAAGGTAAGAAACCTTCTGTGTCCAAGATTCCCCCATCCCCACCTTATACTTACTTGAGCCCAGTCTTGATTTAGCACTGTGCTCAAGAGCAGTGGCTCTCTGCTTTCTCCATCTTCACTGGGCAGACTGATCGTAGCAGAAGTCATTGGCTCCTGCTGCTGTCAAACAGTCTATGATGAGGGAGCAGGGGGCAAAGCTGAACTCCGCTGTCTGTTGCTGTAGTTGTAGGCAGTGAGACTCAGGAGCAAGCCCACATAACTGTCCCCATAGGAAACAGCTCCTTATGGGGGCACTCATTGAAGAGGAAGAGCCAGAAATGGTGGGCAACCCAGAGGAGGATGCTCGGGGCTGCTCTGTGCAAAATTATTGCACAGTGCAGGTAAGTATAACATGTTTGTCACTTTAAAAAACAAAGTGTAAGGTTTAGAATCACTTAAAAAGCATCAGTAGGTATCTAGTTATGCTTTCTTGGCCAGGAAGTTTACTTTGAACTGCTGTAATATAAATTCCAGAATTTATTTCTTGTAAGGCAGTGAGGACTAAAGTTTCCTAAAAATTCCCCCATTTGACTTCCCATATTCTAAAACAATTAACTGCAAACCGTTTCAAAAAAAATTCTTACCTTGCCCATGGGCTCATTTTCAGGGCCAGTCCTCGGCTAATGCAGAACCCAGCTCCTCCAGTGGCAAACCAGAAGTTGACAGGGCGCTGAGAAGAAAAAAAAAAAAAAAAAAAAAAAACAAGAGATAGAACCATTAGAAAACTACTCAAACAAGATGGAAATCATTGGTGGAGAAGGATCTGGGGGTTCTGGTAGATCACAAGCTTAATAATGGCATGCAATGCCAAGCTGCGGTTTCTAAAGCGAGCAAAATCCTCTCTTGTATTAAAAGTGGTATAGACTCCAGAGAGAGAGAGAGATATCCTATTACCCCGCTACAAATCATTAGTAATACCTCATCTGGAATATGCAGTTCAGTTTTGGGTACCAATTCACAAAGAGAACATTGGGGAACTGGAGAAAGTACAGACAAGGGCAACCAAACTGATAATAGGCATGGAGGAGCTCAGCTATGAGGAAAGATTAGAGGAACTGAAATTATACTCTTGAGAAGAGGAGATTAAGGGGGATATGATCTCCATGTATAAATACATCAGTGGTTCATATAGTGAACTCGGTGTAGAGCTATTCACCCTGAGGTCATCACAGAGGAAAGGGGGCACTCTATGTCTGGAGGAAAAGAAATTTAATCTCCAAATACAGAAAGGTTTCTTCACAGTGAGAGCTGTAAAAATGTGAAAACAGACTCCTTCAAGAGTTGGTTCTGAACAGCTCAGTGGATGGCTTTAAAAAAGGCCTGGATTCTTTCCTAGACACAGAATATAACTGGATACTAACATTTATAGGTAAAGTTGATCCAGGGAATATCTGATTGCCTTTCTCAGGGGATCAGGAAGGAATTTTTTTCCCTGCAGGAGCAAATTGGTTCATGCTTTGCTGGGTTTTTTTTTGCCTTCCTCTGGAAGAACTGTGGGTACAGGATTAAAACTTTTTTTAATGCTTGAACTGGATGGATTTGTCTTTTTTCAGCCAGACTAACTATGGAAGCAAGAGAACAAAATGGCAGCTCAGTTCTTCCTTGCTAAAAAGAACATCTCTCCAGGCCTCTCACTTACCATTTTGCTTTCACTAATCCTCTCAGTAGCTTGGATGGGCCGATCCAAGCTTGGCTTCCCAATATAGATATCATTCGTATGAGAGTAACGTGACAACAGTTTAATTAGAGTCTTCACATTGACGTAATTGTCATCATCTACATGGCAGAACCACCTAAAAAAGAACAAGCAACATCATAAGATATGGCCAGAAACCATAGCTGGAATGTATTATGTGTTTAAGCGTACTTTGTATTACACAACTTCAGTGATACTTACTTCATGTTTGACTCTATGAACGTGTCGTACTCAACAGCCATTTTACAGGACAAGGCTTGGCGGCTGTGAGCAGCAGAGCAGTTTGTGCTGATGACATTATCTGTAGGGGATACAAAGAAACAATCAGTATACCATAGCCTAAAGAACATAACCACGCTCTGCAAAGATTTAGGGTTTTATTTCAGCCCTTGTTGGCAATGGGTTAATACAGCTGCTGGGATTGACAGTATAAGGTTACAGTAGAGGATACCATAGAACACTGGGGGAGGCAGCAGATAGAACAAGCCATTGTCATTTTGCTGGGGGGAGGAGGTCTGACAGCACACTAGCTTTCGGAATGAATATGAGAAAGGGTTAATTACTAGTCCCCCCATCCCCCTTCCTTTTTTTTTTTTAAAGGGATCTCTTCCTATTGACTATGCACTTTCCCAGATCAGGCCACCTGTTACTGGCTGTGCACTCTCAATAGCTGTATAAAGAGTCTGAATAGAAATCATTTACATGAGAAGGATCAAGGCTGTGACCCAGACTCAATGGAGGAAAAAAAAAAAAAAAAAAAAATACACAGGCTACATTAGCAAGAAACCCACCCCACTGCTGGTGTTCCACCCTTCCCTCTCCATAATGGTTTATTCCTAGCTACTGCTTAAAGCTTACTCCTCCTCAGTCTAGTTAAAAAGGTCCCAACAATGGAAGAGCGGGTAAAATACAGTACAAAGGGCCTACAGCACAAGGAGAACATCCTTTGTCAAGCCCATTCACTGACAAAACTCAATCCTGCTTAACCAACTTGTCCTAACCCCCAGAACAAGGGCAAGCTTGAAATATGTTAACCAAATAAAACTGCTTTAAGCTTTTTTTTTTTGAGGTTACAAATCAAAAGGAAATCTGGATTCTGGACCCAATTGGACAATTAAATATCTTTAAGAAAACTTTTAGAAGCAACAAATTTGTCCTCTATTTCTGACTAAGTTATTGTAATAGACGCCCATGTTTTTATGTAGAAGCCAGCATCCATGTACTGTATTGTATAGCTTGCGTCTACATAAAAATAGAAAGTAAAAGTGGATTATGCAACAAATGGGGGGATTAGATGTTTGATCCTCACCTGTCTTTTTCTGCAGCTCTTCATCCTCCCCATCCGTGAAGATGAAAGTCTGAAAGATACAAAGGAGATAAAAGACACATTACATTTCTGTGGTTGGGAATGCACCTGGGACACTTATACAAATAGGATGCAGAATAGCAGATGGTTAGAGGACAGAGCATATAATTTCCAGCTACCCCCGATCAAATCCAGGACCGGCTCCTTTTGTGTGCAGATTCTTGGAGAGAGACAGCTGTGCGGGTTACAAAGCCTAAAGCCCTCCCTAAGGCCAGTAAATGGAGATGGCATCAGTGGATGGTATAAGCAAGCGTTAGCGTCACTAAAATTATATATAATTGTTTTTTTTTCAATTGGCTGTTATTCAGTATTACATTTTGCAGGTGACCATTTGCTTCGCTTTGTCCACATATCAGTTTTTAAGTATTTGTCTAATTCTCTTCCACCCATCTCATATTTATAAAACTTGCTACAGTCTGGTTGGCATTTTGAAGCCGTGTTTGATTGTCATTTGCAAAGTAGCCTGTAATTTAGGACTCTCCTGGACACATTGGCTTTCTGCGATTTCTATGCTGAAACCTTTATTAAAAATCATTGAAAGTAAAACTTGCTACAAATGTTTCCTAAAGTAATCCTATTTTATCTTTTTCATTTTGCGCTACTGAAATAGTAGCAAAGGCAGCTACAATGTACAGTTGCACATTTGAAAAGTTCCAACATCATCCCTACTGTACTTGTGATGCTTATAATAACTGAGGCAAGAGCAGCTGTTATCACGGCACGAGTCTCGGCTGTGTTCAACCTGCCACATATCAGAGGGTGGTACCGTTCCAGCCTTTGCATCTGCCAGCCACTTCCAAATTCTTTACTTTGTTTTCTTCACGTACGCACACCCACCGCTAGTCCTATGTAACTCAATAGCACTGGAAAACGTCGCAGCTTTTGGGCCTGTAGGGCTGGGGGCTACCTTCAGAAGCCCCGCCCACTTTTACCTTCCCCACCTGCCTGCCCGCCGTCCCTTATTGACACAGCTAATGCTCAGCAGATGTCGACTGTCTTTGTGGTTTTGTCTGTTTGCTTTAATTGTTGTGTGGAACAAAATATTAAAAAAAATAAATAAAAAAAAAATAAACACAAGCCTCAATCAGTTACAGAAGAGAAAAAAAAAAAAAAAAAAAAAAAAAAAAGAAGAATGGCGTGCCACCTGCCTCTTCTAGGTAAAATAAAAAAAAAAAACAAACACACAAGACACAAAGGAGGCATGAAAAGAAAGTAAAACACAGCAACAAAGAACAATGGAGGAGGAGGGAAGGAAGGCGAGATACCAAAGTGCAGTTGAAGTGGAAGCTCCGCTGTCAAACGTAATTTATGCCTGTGGAAGGCTCTCTTAAGAAGGGAAGAGGGGGAAAGTTGGGAGTCTGTTTCTTAACAATAGGCTAAATGTTGCGGGCTAGCTTTACTCACTGAGCAAGAGTTTAAGCTGAGACGTGTCCTACTTATTAGCATACAGCTGGCCTGGTTAAGCTTGGGGAATTGAAAAGGAGAATAAAAGAAAATGATTGATGTGGCAGCCCTTTTCTCCCTCCCGGGACTCAGAGGGGGCAGAGTGGGTTTAGGATCCCTTCGAAAGGTACATTTGATAAAACAAATGACAGAATTGGTTCAAAATGGATTTTCATTAAAGAAAAAAAAAAAATACGTCTTACAAGACTAACTTTAGTCTTGTAAGATGTATTTTCTTTAATGAAAATCCATTTTGAACAGCAGTCCATAGCAGCCAACCAGAAATCATCTGCTAGTTCCAGCTCATTACTTATTAAAAAAAAACGTAAATGAGTACATTTAGCTCATTCCTGTTTAGGTTGCTATATTAAAAAAGCCAGATGCCGATTTCTTTGAGGATCCTTTCTCTGTATTTGCTGTTGCTTGCTATGCTCTGCGGGGCAGATTGTAAACTTGGTCCCAGCCTAGACTCATGCAGAGTCATGTGTCATCTATAAGAGCAGGAGAAGAATTTGCTTTATGGTTCTTCTACCTTTTATCTCAGCAGGAGTTGGTTTTGGCACTAAAAATAGATGCAAACTGTTTATTACAGGTCAGGCTAAGCAGTTGGATTCTGAGTCCCCATCCTCTCCCCTCCTTTGTCCTCCTCAGAGCTGGGAGACAATGGGATGATTCCTGGCTATAAAAGAAGAGTCTTCTCTCTATAGAGAGACAGGAAAGAAAACTCAGGCACCCCCCTTCGCTTTATTGGAAGTGTACTCCGGAAGCTTGTAGCCTGCCTGCCTGCTCCTTGCTCCAAGAGAGGAAGGGACAGCCTGTTTAAAGCCCCAAGTGTCACCTCTTAGGAGATATCTGTGATCAGCAGGATCCTTGGCTCACACCCCTTCCTGCCAGGCCCAAGAAGTCCAGCCAGGAAATTCAATTAATCTCAAACAATTAACCTGTATCTGCTCCCCAGCTACTAACTACTAACGATACACGGGACAGACATTCCAGAAGCCTTTTGAAACACCAGACTATATTTAACATAGCGCCAGCTATGTCCGATGATGTGCTGCAAGTAGCCTACAATGATCTAGCAAAAATTACAACCCAAAGGTCACTGAAATGCTATAATATATACCAGCCCTTTCAACCATTTTACTCCAGAGGAACCCTTGAAATAATTTTCAGGTCTTGGGGAACCCCTGCTAAAATTAATTAGTTGGGGGTCAGTGGGAAGCAGGCCCCTTACATTGGTGATCAGTGGGAAACTTGGTCCCAGCCTAGACTCATGCAGAGTCATGTGTCATCTATAAGAGCAGAAGAAGAATTTGCTTTATGGTTCTTCTACCTTTTATCTCATGGCCCCTTACATTGGTGATCAGTGGGAAGAAGGCCCCTTACATTGGTGATCAGTGGGAAGAAGGCCCCTTACATTGGTGATCAGTGGGAAGAAGGCCCCTTACATTGGTGATCAGTGGGAAGAAGGCCCCTTACATTGGTGATCAGTGGGAAGAAGGCCCCTTACATTGGTGATCAGTGGGAAGAAGGCCCCTTACATTGGTGATAAGTGGGAAGAAGGCCCCTTACATTGGTGATAAGTGGGAAGAAGGCCCCTTACATTGGTGATAAGTGGGAAGAAGGCCCCTTACATTGGTGATAAGTGGGAAGAAGGCCCCTTACATTGGTGATAAGTGGGAAGAAGGCCCCTTACATTGGTGATAAGTGGGAAGAAGGCCCCTTACATTGGTGATAAGTGGGAAGAAGGCCCCTTACATTGGTGATAAGTGGGAAGAAGGCCCCTTACATTGGTGATAAGTGGGAAGAAGGCCCCTTACATTGGTGATAAGTGGGAAGAAGGCCCCTTACATTGGTGATAAGTGGGAAGAAGGCCAATCTTGCAGTTGTGATCCCAATGCCACCTTTTCAGGCAGCTAAAAAGACTACTGGTGTCATGCCGTTGACTCTGCCAAGTGGCATTGGACCTGAAATTATCCAGGTACCATCAAATGGAAGGTCAATCAGCCACAGATCAAGGAACCACCAACAACCTTTGGAGGAACCCTGGTTGAGAATGTCTAATCTACACTAACCAATTAGATATTACCTGGAAGCAGTTCTGTCAAGTCAGGGTTGGAGGAAGATAAAATCTAACTGGAATGGATTTTTTTTTTTTTTTAAAGTACTTACCTACAGTGGAAAGCATTTTGTGCAGTACATCCCCCCCCCCCCCCCCCCCCCCCCGTTTATTACATAAAAAAACTAAATGATTTGAAGAAACTGCAGTTCAGGTCCCAGGGCAAAGAGCAAGCGTTGATTGCGGTTTATAAATTCCTCTGAAGTTTTACAACTTCGGTAAGAAGTAGGTGACAGTGAATGTCATTATATCCTCAAGCTGGCTGGAGAGCATAGTGACAAGTGAGGTGTGTGGGAGGGCTGTGTGCTGCAGCCACGTGTTGCTTTGTGCAACATTTACTGAAATGGAGCAGGTTTGACTTTAAACAAGTCAATTAACCCCCCCCCCCCCCCCCCCCAAAAAAAAAAAATGTCACCATGCAGACAGGTACTCATCTCAATTACAGGAACCTTCAGCCCATTCGGTTTCAAAACATCTCATTTCTCACTGACTCACCATTATGTAATATCAAAAATAATGTCTGTACATCTCTTTTGAAACTTCTGCTTTTTCCAGGCAGCTTCCAAAATGTGATCTTTACTTTGGCCACTTCTCTAAAATTTCAGCTTTGGCCACAAGATGCTTTTGTCCCTTAAGAAGGGGGGGGGGGGTTATGAAAGAGGAAGCATCATTATTCTAAAAATCAACAAACGCAGGATGCCAACTCCTCTTGTAACAATAGGGACCACCACTGAAGTAGGTGTGGATAATGACCCCCCCCCCCCACCCCTTAAGATCTGATCTAGCTAGCACAGTTAACAATAGGCAGTGTAAGGAAAAAAAGTAGACTATTTGTAGACTCTAACCAGTACACACTAATAAAACAATATATAGTAGAATTCTAAGAACTTCAGCAGCCTGGGGATGGTGGACTTAAACATCCACAACAGCTGGAGGAATGCAAGCTGCCTGAAACTGATCCTAAAGTCTGTAATAGCTGATATGTCCAATCTTGAAAGCAATGCATGATATCCCTATTCTAGTGTAATCTTATGTATTGGATCATTTAAAATTTGAATTTCGCGCTGTGTTGCCAAAAGACAGGTTTGACAAGATGATACAGATGATATGGGAGGAGGAAGCAGAATTACTACCTGCAACAAGCTGCTTGTCATATCACCTGTCAAACAACCCCTACTCACACAATTGTACCCAAAACATTGCCTAACCAACCTCGGATCAGGACAAACAGCTTAGTGTTATTGGATGAGCTCCCACCACCTGTACAGTTTAATGAGTTTACGTTATCAGCGCATTTAAAAAATGCACTCTTTAGCTGATGCCATTCTACTTTGAACACTCTGTACAAGTAATGGGAGTCATTAAGGTTACATATTGTCTAATACTGCCTTTACCAACCTTTTTCCCCCCAGAGGAACCCATGAAATAAG